GCATCTTTCCTAGATTTCTTTTGTTTCTTTGCCATTTTCTTTCCTCTAGCAGGAACGAGAGAGGAGGGAGGGAGGCACCTGTTGGTCAAAACAGAGAGAGAATGAAGCCTAAAGGCAAGAGACATGCTGCCACCATAAGTGAGGGTGTGGCTACTAGTTACTGAGCCACGCCCATACTTAATTAAAATGGAGTCAATGTCATTGTTCTGTGATGGATGGAGTGGATCAGATGAGCTGAAGCTCTTGGATGTAATTGAAGAACAGGGATACGGGAACTGGTGAGTAGGGACATGATTTATTAGCAAAATATCAGGGACATGTAATGCACCATTGGGTGGAGTTTATTATGTACATGTACATATGAATGCATTCATGCTGAGAGCTCTATCTTTGAATGTTATACTAGAAGCAATGTAGAACATTAAGGGGCGAGCCTAAGCTAGCAAAGCAATTATGGCACTGGATCTATTCATCTATAATCTGCTCCCGATGATTTCAAAGCATGCATCATGATTTAGGCATAGCAAACATGATTTACATGATGAAAGTTTAATGCTGCTGATAAAATTAATAAACTTTTAGTCTTCTAGTTTCACATACACATTTCTTGCCTATAAATGTCTGTAAAGATGCTTTACTTAGCTTTAGATATAATATTATCCAATATTAAGATGACTGAGAAAAAGCTTGATTGACTTTCACAGTTTTAATAGCAATTGCATCAGTAAAGACGAGCTTCATAGGTTATTAATTGAATTTAAAACCTTCTATAGCTGCTGGGGAAGTCTTTGGACGGTATCTGCCTTATATTGCTGCTAGAAAGCTCATGAATTCTTCCAGTGTGTTGGTTGCCATTTTTATTTTACTGTGACCGCTCCCACTTTCAATGAAAAATTGAAAATTGCATTGGTAATGCATAGTATCTATCTACCGTATTAGATCTACGCATAAATAGGGGTGACGTACGAGGACAGACATACAGACAGACGGGGCGTGACTGAGAGTATAGCTAGAGTGGGGCAAGCTCAGGCTCGCCCCAATTAGATTTAATTGTAGGGATGCAATTGGTCAGAGAATGTGTAAATCCAGTGAAGGTAATAATAATAATAATAATTATTAAAATCTATCTATCTTATAGAATGCTACTCTCACTATCATCGTTACTATCTCAATGAGAAACCTCTAATTAGCACCTCTTCATCACATGATGAGTCACATGACTCCTCATTTCTACCGGCAAATTACCCGGGAGAAGAAATATCACATTACAATCCATTGAGAGCCGACTTTGAAATAGTACGTGTGACATATAACATGTATGTATATGTCATATCTGTTATAGCTTTTAACTTTTATGGAAATGCACACTACAAGGAATCCACTGTATTACATACCACTAATAAACAATTAGCCACATCTTACCCCCAGATATACTACACATTATTTGTATTAGTATGTATGACTCAAGTATATAGCTGTAAGTATTGAT